CTGGGAGTTGAAGTCCACGCATCTTCAAGGTGCCAAGGTTGAGAAACACTACACTATAGGAAACCGGCAAAACTGATTCATGGAACATGTATTCTTGCATTATCTATCTTGTAAGCCAATTTTTTGCTTTATCTGATATCTTTTTTAGCAAATATGAAAGTGAGAATCAGAAGGCGCTTATACTATTTATCTCTTATCAGATTAATAGCAATATCAGAATTGCCAAGTTCTCCTTAAAGGTTAAACATGTTTAGCATGGACCACTTACAATCCTTTAGAATTTTACTACATTGTCCACTGTTCAAGGTTTATGTCGTACTATATATACTGTATTCTATCAGTAATCAACCATATTTGATTGATAACTGATTTTTATATATAATAGGGATGTGAGGATCAGCTCCAATCCAGTCTGAATTATTGATTTGATGGGGAATCACTCTGATTCAAAGCACTGACTTGGATTAATTTGATTCTCCTTTGCTGGTCAATTGAAAGAAACAGCCTATTTGATTTGAATAATTGTTCTGAACAGATACTTGATACAACTTAGAGGGAACATCTCTGAATTGATATAGCCTGCTCCACCCTGGGTCAGTCAGTCAGTACACCATTCCAACTTGTTCCTGCTTCTAGGTTGTGAGTTGGGAAAGGTGACCTTCATCCTTCTCCAAATCTCTAAAGATAATGCACCCTTAGTCTGAATTTTACATTGGTGGGTTCCCCTTGACAAGCTCAAAATTGTATATACGTTCTCAGGAACTTGACATGGCACAGGTGAAACTAAATATTTATTGTAACATCAGAACTGAAGTCAGGTCAGATAGATGGCAGCATCTGACACTTAAGTATCACAAATACCTTGTCCTCATCACTTTTTGAGTAGATTACTTCAGAGTGGCACTGCCTTTGAAGACCGCTCAAAAACTGCAGGTGGTGCAAAATTCAGTGTCCCAATTACTGGTGGGCATTACCGGGAAAGGGCACATCACACCTGAGCCTCTGGTCCTACATATATATATATCCTATATATGTATGTGTGTATATCTATCTATCTATCTATCTATCTATCTATCTATCTATCTCTCTCAGCCCTAGGAAGCAGGCAATGGCAAACAACTTCTGAAATTATTGCCAAGACAGAA